TTTCGAACCTTCAAATCTTCGCATGAGTTGAAGGTTCAAAAACATATTCTGGGAAAGCGATGATCGAAACAAGGAAGACTTCACGTAAAACGGAATCTCAAAAAATGACATCAAGGTGTAAAGGAATTAGAAAGGAAGTTGAATTTCATCGCAGACGTGAAAAAATGACAGAAGTGAAGTGTGGAAAACAAATTATTCACCTTGAAGCCTAAGCGGCTAAGAAAAGATCGGCCAGTGGGTGCCATAGGAGGAGCAGCAATGAGTATAAGCTCTCTCTCTCTCTCATCTTCAGACACAACTTTGGACCACGCCCCTAACAAACAAAGCACAAGTTGTCACTAGTTTCTCAACTTTAACTCGAATTGAGTGTTGTCCCTGATAGATCTCGCTGCATGAAATGATTGTTCGGCTCTTACAATTCAAACAGAATTAACGCGTTATCTGCACATCCGCCTGTTCTTGAAGGTGGAAGGTACAGATAGGTTACTAATGTACTTGTTGGCTCAGTTGAAAGTGTAAAGTACTGATCAAAAACAAAACTTTTAAGATCTATTGGAGCAATGGCTAGATTATCCACGCTTCGTGATGCTGAACTGACAAGATAGAAAATAATAAAACGTTATGGGACAGTGCGGTTTACGGATAAGTAACTTGGTTAAACGGAAAGTTTTCAATCATGTGAATATCATTCTCTTGAAGCAAAGTGCCAAGTTCAAAACTGCTTTTAGTAACTAGTGCAAATGATCGAGAAGGCGAACCAATTTCGGTGGAGTGCAATGATGAACTACAGCATCATTCACAACACGAAGTGCCACAAACTACAATAAGCAAACCATCTACGTACCTTGCTTTTAGAAGATCCTGGAGCTGAACTAGAAACCTCGTATGAAGCAACAGGAGAAGAAAGAGGCTTAAATATAATCAAACATATATAAGGATGCGAAATATCGATACAAACTCACATTACTGGATCCCAATTCTTTATCTGTGTATTCGAGCACATCGATGGAGTCATCGTTCTTAGCAACTGCAATATGCTGTAAGGAAATGTGAACTAGAATCATTTCTCTCACCATTGTCACATGATTGGGAGAGTCGAGCACTGTTTGGTCTCTGTGCAGATGTTGATCCTGTATGATCGAACATATGAGTCGCCATCTTGGTTTGGAACTGGGTTCTTCCGTTATATCTGAATCTGGCGGATCCCCAACGGAAAAGACTTTGCTTCGGCTTGTCTTCAGGTTGAATCAATCTGAGTGAATGTATAGACTGGTGAAGGCATGAAGACTACTCACCTGAAGAATGTGTGATGTTCCACACCACATTTATAAATTCGCTTAGCATAGGTATAATCCGAAACTTTGTAAACTAATGTCTTCTTATCGATCTGAAATAGCAAGACTGTTCAGAAAACCTTTTTCAAAGATGATACCTCTCCGGGGTTCAGCTTCAGCGCAAACGTGTTCTTA